TTCTTAGTTCAGTGGCTTTTTTTCCCGAACCGGTTGTAGTATTTTGACTATCAATAAGTGAGGGTAATGCAATTCACAATACCTTCTACAGACTTAGAAGTAGTTTGTCCCCTTTTTTATCACATTTTTTCTTTTAATGTGAAAAGTTGCCAAACGAGCTGACGGCTCACCTGATGTTAAGTGAGTACCGCCGCCCATGAACATCTGCTACACCCCAGGGTTTGCAGATGCGTTGACAACCTTTTTGGAAATTGGGCTCCGGCTACCTCACTCACCAGACGAAACGCGAAAGTATTTCTCATACTTCCACTTTATGCCGGTCTTCTGTGAGGTCGTGGTACTTACCCGGACGAGCCTGCCCATTCGTGCAACAGCCGAGGCTGCTGCGTGGCTCTACCACCGTTAAACACAACAAAACAATCACATGCTAAAGCACAAATAAAATTGAATCTAAATTTAGGACTTAGAGTCACCATCATCATCAGCCGCAGTACGTCCACTATTGAACATAGGCCTCCCCCTTTGAACGCCACAACGAACGACACTTTGCCATTTACATCCACCGGTTGCCCGCGCCTATTACGATGTCGTCGGTCCACCTAGAGGGAGGCCTTCCAACGCTACGTCTTCCGGTTTGTGCCGCCACTCCAGTACCTTTACTAATAGTATCCAACATTAAAACCACATTGGATTGAGTCTTGTGCCCAGAATAAGCGAAATAATCCTGACGACTCACATAAGACGGAAAGTTTTTCTACCAGCATCCGTATCGGTAATGCTGAGTAGAGACATGGAGGGTAGTACTCTTCTTCTGTGAGTTTGCGATGGTCCATAAGTAGGCTGCTGAGCGGGATCGGGAGAGGTTAGATCTCGCTCTGAGACCAAATATCAATGTTGCTCCTGTGCCTTTAATTTTAGTTTACTTTTTATTTTTTATCTTTAGGCTTACGTGTGACGTGGGTGCTGGTGCCTGGTAAAGCAACCCTGAGGAAATCGATACGTGCGATGTTGGGCAAAGTACCACTGGGGTGTGGCCAAGACACGGCTGCGAGGGGTTACCTAAGCTAAACGAAGGACGGATCGCGGCGGTGATCTGAACTTAGATCCCTGGACTCCTCATTAACAGTTGGTGACTACCGTGAGGTTTTAGTCGGTGCAAGTTCAACATAACTTTACCTCCCCCATAGGTGGTACTTTTATGTTGGACTTGCTCACCATATCCGTTGCGGACCTGACATGATAAAAACTACGGCTATGTATACCTGCAAGAATTCGTCATAGAGTGCAATACAAAATTTAAGTTATTAGTAATTAAAATCAATGTCGAGTGCAAACTGACATATGACACTATGTTACTCTTAGTGTACAGAAAATAATGAGTCAGTAAAACATTAAAATATCAATTTTACACATATGCATATATTATATAACATTACACATATACGTCAGTGATGTCATTCCAAATGTATGATCCTTAAAAAATCTGTTTCGTCAAAATATTTGTTACAGAGAGTTATAATCATAATATAAAGAAAGTAAGTTAATAAATGCCAAGAAAGTAATAAGGAACAACAAGTTACAATTATTACATAATTATTGACGTAATTATTCAATGACAATCGGTGTAGACGGAATTATCTTAATTTTCTAATCAAATAAAAATTATTATCATAATTAGTCTGTCATAGATAGCCCTACAAATTTCATTTTTTATGATTAATACAAATAATCGTTAAGTTATTCATAATTCAATGACGGTGTATCGCGGATAGGTGGATTAGTTCAGCGAGTAGTTAAAATTACAGCTTCAATGACGTTCACTGAGTTTGATCAACGTAATTTAAAGATAAATTTCATCATTCTGATGATAGAGTTGATCAGGATCATGATTGTGACGTCTCGTATGTACATAAAAAAGTTACTTTTCAGGTGTTCTGTAAAATGTTATCAATATTTATTTTAGGCGTTACATTGTTCCGAAGAACATGGCGATATAACACTATATAAGTTTTCTGCCACGCAAATCGAAGTTTCGTTTCTGTTTTTTTTTTTATAAGAGAAAGTGGCAACCGATCTGGCGGTTCGCCTGATGTTAAGTGATAACCGTCGCCCATGGTCATTAGCAACACGCGCGAGTTTGCAGATGCGTTGCCGCCTTCTAGTAAAGTGGGTCCCGGTTAAGTCACTTATCACACGAAACGCAGAAGTATAACATCAAATTCACGCCGCAAGTAAGGGACAAGGGGCGGTACTTCCTTGGAGGAACCTTGACCTTACCGTAATAGAAATTAACTTAAGAGAACCCAGTGTTGCTACCATAGTAGTATCCAATTTTTCCCCAAGTGATATCACTGTACGTTGCAGTTATATTATTCCGTGTAAGTCATTGTAAGTCATCATGAAGTACCTAACTTCATGTTATAAAAATGTAAAAGTACTGTTTAGTTTCAAGTGACACTTTTTCGAGTTCACACTGATCTTAAACTATGTTCTCAGTTTATATTTGCTATAATACACCTCTCTTGACTTTCGCCCTTTTAAAAATGCCAGCCCACTATTATGTACCAAAATTTGTGTATATATGTATCTATATATAGTTCACACTTATATATATATTTCTGTCGGGGGAAATCCAGGTATCAAATATTTACTTATTTAGGCTATTTATCATGAATATTATGCGTATAGTGGGATATTCAGCCGCATTACCTTTCAAATTATAACTCTTAATGCGGCCAAATTTCATAAGTATAATCCAAAAATTATATTTATTTATTCCAATTAGGCCCGTTACAGTCACAAAATACACTACCGGTTCTGTTCCGACAAGATACGGCAGGGAAACTGTGCAGTCATAAGAAGGTTTTTTATTTCTGTTCAAATAATGCGGTGTTAAATAAATTTTATTTAATCATACTAGTATTAACGTCTCGATAAGTAGTCTTGTGCTTGAATACGGACTCTATCGTGGATATATTTATGTATATAATTATTCTGTGCGTGTTTATGTGACTGAATTCCTTATAAACGGCTGCACTGAATTTGATGAATTATTTTGTGTGTCTAGACACAAATTCAAAAATTTCACGGATTTGGATTTAAGACGAGGTGAACATTATATTTCTACATATTAGACTATACCAGACCTCTACAGAGATATCATACAACAATTTTTATTTTATGCTATATTGCATGCTATAATAATTACACAATTTTCATGCACGTCGCTTAAGCCACGCAATAATTATTCTTGAGATCATGTGACGAATCAACGATGTCTTTGTAATAACGACTCTATCTAATGTGTACTAATGATGCTTTTTATATCAGCGAGTCATCGAGAATGCAGACAGCATAGCATGCTTTCGATAACACTGATAACACAATCAATCAAAATCAACTTCCATTCAATGTCTATTGAAAAAAGTCTTCAGCGTGTACTCAGTTATATGGCAACATCAGTTCACGCGGCAAAAACATTACGAAAGGAATATGGTATACGTAAACTAAATGTAATAATATATGTGCAAAACGTAACTTTGGTGGGTCCAGGTAGGGTTGGTAGAGTTTGACACGTATGTTGTCTTCAGGAGAAGTACCGCCTCCACTTTATGCTGGCCTCACAGGAAGTGTCATAAAGTCGAAGTGTCATACTTCTGCGTATCTTCTCGTGGCCGGCGCCGACTTTATGGGTGTTGCAAATGTCGTCGGCTATCACTTAACATCAGGAATATAAAAGAGAAATATTTACTGAATATTTTTATGTGTGTATTTGATATATATATATATATATGCCTATTCCGCCTCTCATCAACGACTGGGGCTATGGCCTAAGAGCTGGATACTAATAGATGTGCAGTCTGTACCCAAAATGGCTATCCAAAGTGACCCTTGGAATTACAGACCCCTATCACAAACCGTAATAGCTCAGTGTCCGGGTGCTCGATTTTAATTCTATACTCTAGCAACCTGATTTCACATCCCGTTGCTGGCCCCAATGAAATTTCTAATTGTAATTTTATATCAAACTAGCTGCTGCCAGCGACAACGTCTGCGTAGAATAGGCTGAAGGTGTAACATTAAGACAGAAAGACAGATAATAATTTATATACATAAAATATGTATATAAATTATAGCCTATGTCTGATTCTGATGTATAAATTATATTATTGTAAAGTTTAATTAAAATCCATTCAGTAGTATTTGCGTGAAAGAGTAACTAACAAACATCCACCCATACATTCAAACTTTCGCCTTTATAATATTAGTAAGGATTAATTGCGATCTCCCATTTGCGATAAAACATTAAAATCTGTAGATGTTATGTCCGTTTTTCTATTATGAAAACTTAGTGTAAAATTTAAATTTTAATAGCGATCGCGAAATCACCAGTTCAAATGATCTTTGTATAACGTTATTTGAAATTAAACTGATCGTGTAATGTATAGAACAATGATGTGTATAGAACATAACCGAACGCCAAACATTGTTTAAAATGCGAAAAATACAAGTAGGTGGATAAAATACGATGAGCACGTTTAATGGTTAAAGCGTCAGGGCTCTATTTTGGAGACGCGGGCTCGATTCCCGCGGCCGCGAAAATCTTGTTCATAATTTTTCTACGTTTAATGCAATTTTAAGTGCTGACATATCACGTACTCGGAAGGAATACATTGTGAAGAAAATCCTATGCACTATACATAACTTCTAAGTAATTATCATAAAATTATTTGCAATATTTTCTCTTTTTAATGCCCTTTACTTATTATTTCTATTATTTGAAAAATTAATATCTTCAAAAGACACTTGAAAATTTGAGTTTTCCCCCATGTTTGTTATCACATCTTGTTCTTTTACTCGTGTTAAAGAAAAAGCACTTCGTCCGTGCATTTTCAATTTCACTATTGTTATAAGAAGTTATTAACAATAAACCATTATTAATAGCTCATATTTGTACTGATTAAAAGTAAAACAATAAGTGTATAAATTACATAATTTTATTTCATAACCAAAAGACCATTATCCGAAACGAAGTCTGAACCTGTGATGCCTTTCGCCTTATCACTGGCCAGGAACAGGATCAAATCCGCTATTTCTTCAGGCTCGCTCACGCGCTTCAAGGCGGTCATTTCCGTGAACTGTTCCCACGATTGTTGGAATTGCACTGTGTCCTTCAAATCCGTGCGCACCGGCCCTGGGCAGATCGCGTTGACCCGGACGCCATAGATGGCCAGTTTCAACGCGGCACACCGTGTAAAATGATTGAGGGCTGCCTTCGACACGCAGTATGAAATCATGTCCGGAGAAGAGATCGTACCGTGTGCAGCGACACTGGATATGTTGATAATGTTCCCCTTAGATTTAATGAGGTGTGGTACAGCGCAGTGAGTTATGTTGACTACTCCCCTCAGATTCAGATTGACGGTGTTGTCGAAGGCTTTCATGAATTTTTCACTTGTTATTTCAGCCAGTTCAGCGCTCCCGGCGTTGTTAACCAACACATCGATCCTTCCAAACTTCTCTATAGTCTCGTTGATGATTTTCTGGCCCTCTGCGTCTTTTGACACGTCCGCTTTTATAACGAGTGGTTTCTGGCCATATTTTTGACATTTTTCGCTTACACTCTCAAGTTTTGCCACGTTTCTTCCCACTATGACGACGTGAGCCGCCTCTTTAGCAAACTCTATGACAGTTGAAGCACCGATACCTGAGCTGGAACCAGTTACTACAACGACTTTGTCTTTGAAACTCATTTTGTGAGTGGATATGTTCCTGGCTGCGATATTACTGAACTGCATATGAGTACTTCTATATGTGATACTCATATTTATACACAAATTACTTTCGAAACATAGATATTTAAAACGCGAGTCATTATGAGTGGACGGATTTTCGAAATGCGTATGAAATAAAAATTGAGGAATTAGAGATTGGAAAATTCACTTGATTTCGTTCATTAATTAGCTACGACTAGATCAATAATCCATGGAATGGTAAATGGTGACGTATTTGCTTTTATGTGACCATGCATGATTGACAGAAATTTTATTCCATTATCTCATAGCAACGCAAGCGAATGAACTTATATTTGTTTAAGGGAAAATCAGGATAAGAAATGAGCCATGAGGTGATTTTGCATCTATTTGGATCTTTTCATGGAATTTATTATCTTAATGTTTACTGGATCACTCTGTAGCGAATTTGCTAAGCTATTGGTTCGGCGCCGTAAATCTACATGATTTACAACCCAACATGCTATACCGTCATCAACTTATCTAGAGTGGTTAGTTGTTACAATTGTGTCACTACATATTATAAAACAAACGTCGTCCCGCTGTCTGTCTGTCCCTATGTATGCTTAGATCTTTAAAACAACCGAACGGATCTTGATGCGGATTTCTTTACCAGATAGAGTGATACAAGAGAAAGGCTCATATGTATAATACATTGCACCCGTGCGAAGCCCGGGCGGGTTGGTAGTCCCTTTTAAATCGACCTGGAAATAATTCCATTACATCTAAAGTGCACGTAAATTATTTCACAATAAGTATTTTACTTAAACTAGACAACTATGGAGTGATTGACAGTACAGGTATTTTTTTAGAAATTTAAATATTTTATTGTGCTAATCTCTTCACTTATGATTGAACATTAAAATTTGTAGAAAAAGTACGAAAAGATCATTGCCGCTGTGGAAATCGAACCCACGTCTTCGGCATTTGTGGCCTGACGCTTTAGACACTAACTAAACGGCTGATTGCCACACCGACGGGAATCTTAACGTCCTTTATCTACATTGTTTTTTTAGCGTTTGAAGCAATGCTTGGCGCATCTATTGCTATATCCTTTCCAGGAAACAAACATTTTCGAATATCGTTTTACAACGATATTTCGAACGAGAGATGTCGCCATTACTTTTTTTTTTTTTAATTTACATATTTTATTGTGCTAATCTCTGCATTTAAGATTGAAAATTAAAATTTGTAGAAAAAGTACGAAAAGGGTATTGTTAATCATTTCTTGGTGAAGTCACTAACGAAGAAGTAAGCATAAGAGACAAAAATAAAAATCTCAGGACAGAGCGAGAGGTGACCTGTGACCAGCAATTAATCGTTAACTTCGGTGATTCATGTCTGCTGGTTGAAGAAGTATGCAGTTTGTGATCATATTTTAGACCGCCCCAACCACTACATTAGATTTTGCAAACCGAAAATCCTCGCACACAGATTCCTCCCAAAGATGATCTGCAACGCTATTGAAATAAAAAATAATCCTTTTTTTATTAGAGAAGATGGTTGAGGTTTATCATCAGCTTGGGATCCCATATTTTTTTTGTGTCACAATAAAGAAAAATAATTAAAGTAAATATAACAATACAAGTTCAATAATTGTGACACCAACACCATTTACCACAGATTACTTTTCCAGGATTGAGAGATAAACGTCAATAACAACCTATGAAACACAATGTAAATGTAATTTAACAAATTGGGCAATCATTTTGCCTCTTCCTTAATTTCATATCAAACTATGGTGTTGATCTCATACAATTTTTTTATAATGGCAGTCCTATGAATACTAACATGAGATGTGACTATATCAATTTCGGGAAAATTTTTGTTATATATGTCCGCCAGGCGATATACCATAATTTATAAAATTAAATCCAAGCACACCAACACAGCTAGACTCCAAGAAACGATAACCTCCTTTTGCATAGATCGGAATGAAAAAAATAATAAAGTAACTTTGACATCAAGATGTTAATTAACTCCGTCTGTACCATGAAAGCTGAAAACAAAGAGAATGTAATCACTACGTTTAAGAGACGGGACTTCCATACTAGCCAAAAATATCAGTTTAATTCAAATCAATCAATCATCAATTCAATTCAATCAATAATATCAATTGGCTGAAAGGGTTCGAAACGTCGAGAATTAAAAGTCAAAATTAAAACGTGATATGGACTTTCCCTAAAGCAGTTTCGTTTAATATATAGGTATTATATCAGCGTAATAATAAGATATCAAAGGAGTTTTGATTAGAACAAAGAATATTTTGATTCAATCAAAATATTCTAATTGCTCGTAGTTGATGTCACTAAGCTAAGAAATAAGTTTGGTAAATTACTTAAACATTTGATTGGATTCCGTACATTCTTCGCTTCATAGACTATATTTTACCAGAAATAATAAAAAAATATTTCGAGGATATGTGTAGTCCGCTAATCCGCAGTTGGGCCGCGTGTTGGATTATGCCCCGATACCCTCTGTAAAAGAGGTGGCCTTTGCCCAGCAGTGGGATGTTTATCAGCTGCTACTTAATTTTTTTTACTTTGTAGATTATGGAGTGAAATAAGGCCTACGTAACATCACCTATTCGAAATAACGACACATTCGTGATAATGCCTAAAAGAGTAAAATGAAATGCAGGTAAAATCTGCTTTAGATAAATTAACCCTCCCATGTATGTTCGAACGTAGATATTCAATTTATTTTATTCAAAATTCCACTATTAATGGTACACAAATATAACATTAAAAACCGGCCAAGTGCGAGTCTAACTCATGCACAAAGGATTTCATACCGTTATCTACCTGGTGACAGACGGACAGCGGAGCCCTAGTAATAGGGTCCCGTTTTACCCTTTGGGTAAAAATGTAAGGCGTGGAAATTGCATTCCACGAAATCATTTTAACCAAGTGAAAAACAATTGGAAGTGAATATAACTCTCCGTAGATAATAAAGATAAAAAAATCATGTCTGTTGTATGGAAGGCCCACTTAAATATTTTTTAGTATTTGTTGTTATAGCGGCAACAGAAATACATCATCTGTGAAAATTTCAACTTTCTAACTATCATGGTTCATGAGACACAGCCTGGTGACAGACGGACAGACAGACAGCGGAATCTTAGTATATAGGGTCTCGTTTTACCCTTTGGGTACGGAACCCAAAAACATCTCCCTCTTTTTTTATCTATACGCAAGGTAAGATAGTAACTAATGAGGAAAAACTAGTTCATATTTTCACATAATCCGGGTTACGAACCCGGTTTATTCATAATACTTCTTTCAGTTATTTTAATAGTTATTTTATGAAAATGTCAAACAAATTTTGGGTGGTATTTACGTGTAAATTTTTCTCCGTTGAAATAATCTGTGTGTGTGTGTTTTGAACTTGCTGTGCTAGCAAAAGCGTAAAGTTACAATGCTTTCCATAGACCCTTAACAACAGTTGTTACAGTTTTGTGGACCTAAGTTATAAAATACAGTAGTTAGTTAAATTAAAATGATGATCAAAATTTAGAACCTACATACGAAATTCCAATATAAAATAAAAATCATTCACAACAAAGCTCAAAAAACAACGTTTGCTATTTTGTTTTGCAAGTCATATAAGACATTTTCTGGAGACGCAATAGCCTTGGCTGTTGCACGAATGGGCAGGCTCGCAGACGAGTATTAATTTTATTAAAACTTTGCCACGGATCTACAAACCCCACGGGTGTTGCAAACGTGGCGGTCATTACTTAACATCCGGTGAAACACCAAGTCACTTGTCACGTTCTCACGTAAAAAATAAGAATACTTTTTGCTAATAACATTCTTGAAGGGCATAACAAATCATAAAAATTAAATCTTATCCTTTAAACGAGCAATTCTTGCATATATATATAATTGGAATCTCGGAAACGAGTCCAGCGATTTTCATGAAATTTAGTATGTGCGTAGATGCGGGGGCGAATAATAGATCTGACTGAGTTTCATTTTTAGAAAATGTCGTTTTATCCCAGTTTTCTGGAATAACTGGCCAACCGGCCGGCTTTCTTTCTTTCTTCTTTTCTATAACGGTAGAAAAATGTTTTGTTTGTTGTGTGGGAGCCCCACTTAAATATTTTTATTCTGTTGTTCAGCATTTGTTGTTATAGCGCCAACAGAAATACATCACCTGTGGAAATTTGAACTGTCTAACTATCACGGTCCATGAGATACAGCCCGATGCCAGACGGAGAGACAGACAGACAGACAGCGAAGTTTAGTAAGCGGGTCTCGTTTTACCCTTTGAGTACGGAACCCTAAAAATCAGTGCCATCAACATTTTAATATTGGCCCAGTGGATCGACTAAATGCCACACACCATAAAACGAGTATTTCACTATTTCATGCATTGTTTTAATTTCAAGCCATTTTTTACAAAATTTTACAATAATTTTTTAACAATTTTTCAAAAATAATTTACATTGGCAAAGATTACATTTGAAGTAAACGATTACATATGAAGTTATATTGGCATATATTTATATGCAGTAGTTCACCAATCATTGGAACTCGTGCAGGAAGGAAAATTTTATCAAAAACTACTTGTGGCGAAAACCCATCAATGACATGAAACCCAAGATGATTACAATTTCAATGGACTAAAGGACATGGAAAAATAGATCTAGGATTTAAAATGGTATCTTGAAGATATATTCAAATTGTTAGCTACTATTGGAAAACAGCTCGCTACTAAAAATTACTGACGAACCACAGGGGTAATTATCCTTTGTTACAATAACATAATGGAAATTAAAAAAAACTGGAAAAATGTTATAGTTAATTTGATGTACCGATACGAAATATACGTTTAAAATATTATCTATGTCAAGCGAAATACCATAAAAATGACGTAAAGGATTTCTGCTATAAAATTAATATAGAACTTGGTTACTTACAATACAATATTCAATTTTAAATATCAAAAACTCAAAAAAAAACCTAAAGATACTGTCGGTAATTTCTAAAAATATCGGAACAACATATTAAACTTATGAGCCAATAAATCGTTTTACACCAACAAGAAATTCGCCAATATCCGACCACCTAAATTTAAATCTTATCATCATCATCATCATCATCATCATCATCATCATCATCATCATATCAGCCGTAGGACGTCCACTGCTGAACATAGGGCTCCCCCATTGACTTCCACTTCGACCGGTCGTTAGCGGCCTGCATCCAACGCGTCCCTGCGATCTTAGCTAGGTCGTCCGTCCTTGTGGGAGGCCTCCCTACGCGTCGCTTGCTGTCACGTGGTCTCCACTCCTATACATAAAAGTAAAGTAAAGTAACAGCCTATTCATGTCCCACTGCTGGGCAAAGGCCTCCTCTATACAGAGGGTATCAGGGCATAGTCCACCACGCGGCCCCACTGCGGATTGGCGGACTTCACATATTTTTATTTCAATTCAGCACTTAAAGTTAAAAACTACATTGGTGCCGGCACCGGGGATCGAACTCAGGTTGCTCGAGTATACATTGAATTAAGGCGAGCGCCCGGACACTGAGCTATCACGGCTCCTCCTATACATAAGCAACACAATTTTACACTCCAAACTGAGACCTCTCGGTAATAACAAAATCCTTTATCAAGACATCCAAAGCTTGAAAACGAAACCAGACCTAAAATGATTAATTGGAATGCAATAAAAACAAATAGGAAACGCTTGTTAGTAAAATAAAGAAATACTGCATATAGAAGGTTAAAACCTAACCGTAACGCATTGCCTGAAAAAATTACGAAGGCGGAGGGGTAGCCTTTATCTTCTTCTTCTTTCTCCTTCCACACACTAGGTGGGGTCGGAACAACATGTCCATATTTTATTTTCGGAACCATGTTATTATTGTGTTAGGGGTAGCCTTTATCCATACTAATATTGTAAATGCGAAAGTAACTCTGTCTGTCCGTCTGTCTCGCTTTCACTCCAAAACTACTGAACCGATTTTAATGAAATTTGGGACACACGGACAGTCTAGAGCCTGAGAAAGAACATAGCCTATTTTTTAATTGAAAAAAAGTGTTGTAAAGGGTTGAAAGGTTAAAGAAAGATATTTATTTCAGGCCTTTAACGCAAGCGAAGCCGCGGGTGAAAAGCTAGTGTATTATACATATAAACCTGCCTCCTGGATAACACTATCTAGTAAAAAAAAACCACATCAAGATCCGTTGCGTAGTTTTAAAGATCTAAGCATACATTGGGACAGACAGACAGCGGGACAACTTCGTTTTATACTGTTAGCGATGAAAATATTGAATACATTGCATAGCAAAACATAACTTATTAGTTACGTTCAATGTATTAAATAATTGAAATAAGTGCCGCTGAAATAATCTAGCATTCCGAACCGGTGGTATCTTACGAATCTATAAACTTGCATAATTTTTGATGTAAAATTTGACGATTCATAAGAGCGCGCAAGCTTCTATTTGAATAAATATATTTTTGATTTTGATTTTGAATGAACATAAATCTTATATTAACAGTCATGTAATTTAAAATTGTAATTTTTTTTAATCATGGTATTGCTACAAACAACTCAATTGTTAACATATTAGAACAAGCACGCTTATTCGCCATAATACAATTTCCAGCTATATTTTTTTTAAATGGCCACAGAACCAACAAGAATAGCTACTAAAACTGTCACATATTGATATTGCTATTACTTAGTACTAATAACATAATAACGCAAAAGGTAGTTGAACTTAGGCCATCTGATCACAAGGAATTTAATCACCTGACCAAAAACAAATATTTAATAGATGGTAGAAAGATTTGGTGGACATTTAAAAGTCTATGAAATAAACCTCACAATATTTAAAATTTAACTGGTTAAATAATTGTTCTTAGGAGCATAAAAATATCAACCAATATTACACTCTCTTTTTGAGGTAGCCGAAGCCCAATTTTCAAAAGGTTGTCATCGCATCTGCAACCCTCGGATGTAGCAGATGTCCATGGGCGGCGGTATTCACTTAACATCAGGTGAACCGCCAGCTCACTTGGCAACTTTTCACATAAAAAAACATGTATAGGCTGATATTTTATTAACTTTCATGTATAAATAGAAATTTGTCAATTCGAACCCTTCCATATAGAAATAAATTACAGTTACCGAACTCTTCTTAGGCCCTATTTCAATCAGTACCATTCGCATTGTGCGAAAAAATATGTGACAAAATTCCAAATAATATTAATGAAATAGAAAATCTATACATTAATAATATCGGTTATCGCTTATTGAACATTGATATAATTATGTTTAGCTCATTATATGTTTTGCTTATCGGTGTCATATTAAATAGCAACAGTGCGGAAAGTTGTAAAGATATCGAACGATATCATCTTTAGGCATATACAGCGTGTCGTTACCATCGCGACAATAAATGAACACACATATAGGGGATACCTTTTTTAAGTTGTATTAAACATTTAAATTCTTTAAACATCAATATTTACAGAGTTATAAAATTTTCCAAAACAAAGAATTTTAGGACATCCTTACCTATAAAAGCGTAACGTAAAGTTCATTTGTAAAGGTCACAAAGCATATGAATGGGTTGAATGAATTTAAAAGAGACAAAACATACTGTTAGAAGGAGAGGCTTGTAATACGACGCTGTGGCGCGAGTTGTATAGGATGTTACAAATTTTGTTTCTTTTTTACTTAATTAGTTTGTTTGAAAAATATTTTTTTTAATTATAGATTTTGTTTAACGTTAATATTTTTTTATGATTATTGGCAAGTAGCGTTAGACGTGTGTTCATTTATTGTCGCGATGGTAACGACACGCTGTATACATTTGATGGGAAGTTCTTTTCGATCCTACTTTTCACTTTTAGATTTGAATGCATCTCTAAGAGAGAAGTTTAAAGAAATAAATAACCTTGGCCTCTCAATATGTGTATGAAAACGTTATGTATGTACGTAGAAATATTAGTAATTTTAATAAGAAAACATAATGTAAATACTAGGAACAAACACAAGCTACAATACACAACATAGCAGGAAAAGATCGTTTCGTATAATAACCGGTTCTAAACAACAATTAATCCGCCTTATTTCGATAAATAAATACTACCCCCGGTTTCTGAAACACTGATCATCAAGTAAGTAGAAATTAACTAATCAGATGTCAAAACGCTTTATGATGAGAGGAGAACTTGATGATAGTTCGATAAAAATCTATTATAAAACTACCGGAATCGGCAAAAGTTATTTTGCCATATAAATTATTTCTAGAGGAATCGGAACGCACGCATAAAGTGTTTGACAGGTTACACAGATATAGTTGACAGGTTGACAGGTACAGTTTGTATGGGAAAATAAAATTGGTGGTATTTGGATTTTCCATGCAATTTTTCCATAATTTCTCATCGTATATTTCAAAACCAAAATTAGCCAAATCGGTCCAGCCGTTCTCGAGTTTTAGCGAGACTAACGAACAACAATCCATTTTTATATATAAGAATATAATAATATATATAGACTGGACGCGAAACGAACATTTAAAATTCTTGTTATCATTTCTGAAGATTAATATAAAGCTTAGTTAATACTTCGGATTATCGGTATCCTATTAAATATCGACAGTCCGTGAAGATCGAACGATATCTTTGGGAGGTGAATAAATTATCAGATTTTTTTTATTTTATTCTGGTGTAGAGCTCTAGAATAAAAAGAATAATAAATTTTAACTAACATCTAGAACTGATCATGTTAACTTCTTGTTTTCTGTAAAATTACATAGATGTAGTGTATTATTCCGTTAACACCAACACCAAGACCAATCACGTTGTATGCGCAGTGCCTGGTTTAAAAATTATTGTTTTTAAAATCTAAATAAAATCATTTGTATAAAATCAAAATACACGACAAATACAGTTTTTAATTGTTCCGTTTCTATTTTACGTAAAGAGATGAAATATACATTTGACGGTGCGTAATTCAGATAAGCAACGAGTAACCTAAGTTCAAGGCAACAAAAATGTAACAATTATTACCATACACGCGGAAGCCGGCAAACGAACAAGCAGCCCATCACATATAGAGTTAGTGATCACAGTGTAATAAATGCATAATAAATAGCGTCGACCACTCATGATGACTAGCATGTACTTATTTATCATTGCTGGTTTGTATTTAAATAGGTGTGCTTTGCGAGAAAGGTCACTAAAATACATCATCGCCAGTGGAAACGTATCCGTGGAAATATGAGTTTCAAAGATAAAGTTGTTGTAGTGACCGGTTCCAGTTCGGGCATCGGCGCCTCCGCCGCTATCGAGTTCGCTAAAGAGGGGGCTCACGTCGTCATAGTGGGGAGGAACGAGACTAAGCTCGAGAATGTACGTGAAAAATGCGAGGAATATGGCAAAAACCCACTTGTCATTAAAGCGGACGTGTCGAAAGACGCCGACTGCAAGAGAATCGTCGACGAAACAATAGAGAAGTTCGGAAGGATAGACGTGTTGGTGAACAACGCTGGGTTTAGTGAAATAGTCGACATTACCAGTGAGAGCTTCATGGAAATCTATGACCGCATCGTCAACGTGAATCTGCGTGCAGTGGTGTACATAACCCATAAAGCTATACCACATCTGATCAAGTCGAAAGGGAATATCATTAACATATCTAGTGTGGGTGGTACTAATACCCTCGGAATCCCTGATTTCATCCCATACAAAGTGTCGAAGGCGGGCCTCAACCACTTCACCCGGTGCGCTGCGCTGAAACTGGCCAGCCACGGTGTCCGGGTTAACACCATCAGTCCGGGTCCGGTCCGGACAGACTTTATTAATCGCCCCACCTTGAAGTCGTTTACGAAGGAGAAATTGGCCGAAATGACCGCCTTGAAACGTATAAGTGACCCTGAGGAAATCGCAGACCTGATATTATTCTTGGCAAGTGAAAAAGCAAGAGGCATCACGGGTTCGAATTACGTATCTGACAATGGTATTTTGATCTTAAACTAGTAAACTTACATTCCAGTGCTTTGAGTGAATAAAGAAATTGATGTGAGTTGTTCAATGTAGTGATATGTATTGAACTAACGTTTTCCTTCTTTGTGTATAATTCTATTAAGTGAAATGATGATGTCACTATAAGTGTTGTTTTCAACCTGTAAACAAGTAAGTGATAATAGTAAAATAAATAATAAATATATAAAATGAACCGCTGCCAAAGGTCACCTAATTCGGCTAAATTTTCATAAACGTTATGTTACGCCTTGTTTAAAAAGCGAACAATTAGTTTTTGAATCTAGATAGGTATGGTGCCTCGCAGGAGCTTCTGCTCTACGGAGAAGTACCAAGATCAGTGAAGAATGGCGTGCAAATAATATCCTTCTCTTTCTATGGCATCTAAAGTTAAAAATCCAACCCGAAGAGCGTTGCGATAGGGAACACCGTTTTAGCATTTTCAGGATTCTATACCCAAAAGGGTTAAACGGGACCCTATTACTAAGACTCCGCGTCTGTCTGTCTGTCTGTCCGTCTTTCACCAGGCTGTGTGTCTCATGAACCGTGATAGTTAGACAGTTGAATTTTTCACAGATGATGTATTTCTGTTGCCGCTGTTGTTATAACAAATACTAAAACACAGAATAACAAAATATTCAAGTGTGGCTCCCATACAACAGCCATGATTTTTTTTACCGTTTTTATAGATAATGGTACGGAACCCATCGTGCGCGAGTACGACTCGCACTTGTACGGTTCTTTACTAAAATATCGTATAGAGCAAGGGACGACATGGTCGTCGATTATAAATGCTCTACATCAGTAAAAACTTCTTTATGGACTTGAGGGTAAATGTGCAAGTGGTTCTTATGTTAATTATCACTAACACTCATGGAAATTCTTAAGACTAGAAAGGTTGTTGCCTATTGAGGTATGAATAACTCCTCTTTTGAAGACCCTTAAGTACATTAAGATAAGATAAGACGACATTAAGTGTTTATTTGTAAAATAATGTTTTATCGTGTTTTATACGATTAGTTAATATCAATAAGAAATTTTAAAATATTGAATTTATCAATGTTGTAGCATTGATAAATTCAAAATTTATTGTAATTTACAACAAAATTAAAAGTATAGTTGATTATTATAACAATATGGAACTATTTTTATTATGAATATATTCCAGACCAGATTGCATAAAAATACTTTTAGATAAGAAATAATTTTTTTCCTTGATAAGGGCAATTTATTAAAAATGATTGGTGCCGTGCAAAAAATTCCCGTGCGCATATTAACAGAGTTGGCAATACTTATGCAGATATAACAGGAAAACAGACAAGTTTCAAACAATAAGGCAAAAGTCTTGGTAAGATTCATTCGTAACGCTGATTTTGTAATAAATGGTTACAGGGTATTCCCAAAATTCCTTTTATATATCTCTTCGTCCTTGCACATCAGTAAACATCTTATTTTTCAAATAAAAATGGTGTGAAATCTGATGTTTTTTATTTATTTATTTATTGCACATCCATTAAGTAACAAAAGGTGTTAGGGTAATTAGTAAAATAGTTCTTTATGGACCCTGTTTATAGGGCATAGTACAAAACAAATCATAAAAATTCGGAGAGAGCAATTATTTGGGCTGGATGAGCCACTGTTGGCCTTAGGGGCCTTTACAGATCCGACGGACTTGAGGTGGCCTGGCGCACGAGGCGCCTAGCCTGAACCTCGGCGTACTATTATTACGCGTTATGGTGATTAAGCTCGAGGGCTCCCGGGGGAGCCTCGGCTCGGGCCGTCACGCTATTATTATTACCGGTTTGGGAGGCCGCCAAGCTCTTATGGCGCTTTGGCGGGCGCTCCATGGAGTGATCAGGCTCAAGGGTCCCCGAGAGGGGACCTCGGCTTGGGCTGTCACTCAGCACGCGTTTAGCATTCCGATTCGAGGGTGCCCGAGAGGGCCGGACCTCGGCTCGATCGGTAGCTATTATCTGAGTGGGGGAATTAATAGTGCTAACATTACTACCACTTCGGAGAGCGTTGGCGCTGGGAGAAGAAGTGGCGGAAGAAACTCCAGCAAAGCTTCTATCATTAATAGGGGAAACCCTGCCAGGTACGTAGCGGAACCTAGTATATGTTTGCCGCACTCGCCGGCGAGTGCGGTGTGTGTTGGTGTGTTTTTTGAGTTTTTTGATCCTTTCGATGGCGATAGTCGTCTCATCGTCAGGGAAGTCGAGAACGTGACGCGGTCTTCGGTAATCGCGGCGGAAAATATTTAGCGGCAAGGGCCTGTAGGTGACGGCACCTACGATAAGTGGGTTGGGATGCGCGGCGGCGGAATCGAAATATCGGCGCGACGCCGACTTCAGGAATTGCGCGATGGTGGGCAATTCTAGATCGACATGTAGGTCGATATTGCGCATGAACCAGGGTGCTCCCGTGGCTCTGCGCAAGAATCGATTTTGAATCACCTGAAGCCGGTGTATTTGCTTCGGAGCAATGTGAGCGAAGACGGGGCTCGCGTACTTCATGATAGGGCGAACTACTGCCTTATATAAGGTCACCTTGTTCCGAAGGGACATTTTTGACGTTTTATTGAGGAGCGGGTAGAGGCGACCGAGTACGAAGGCCGCCCGGTTCCTGACCTGGGTCACGTGCTGGGTGAATTTAAGCTGGGAGTCGAGGACGACGCCTAGATATTTGACTTTATTAACCCATGGTACTGGGCTGTCCAAGAGTTTAACGGGGGGTGGAATGGGTATGTTCTTTTTGTGCGCGAAAAGGACTGCCGCGCTTTTGGCGGGATTGATTTCGATCCTCCATTGCTGAAACCAGTCACCGATGGTGATGGCCGCAGCTTGGAGGCGTCGATGGATCAATTCGGGTGTTCTGCCTGTGGTATTGATACAGGTGTCGTCGGCAAAAAGAGCAAGTTCTACATCTTTGACACGCGGCATGTCATTGGTGTAGAGAGTGAACAAGACTGGTCCCAACACCGACCCTTGGGGCACCCCGGCTCGAACGGGATGCGTAGTCGAACACACGCCCTCAACGCGATAGCGAAAGGTTCGATTACTTAGGAAGTCTCGTATTATGCATACGAGAAGGCCGGACACTCCGTACCCGTATAGCTTGTATACGAGCCCGTTGTGCCAGACTTTGTCTAACGCTTTTGCCACGTCCAGGAAGAGTGCACCGGTGTTGAGTCCGCGTTGACGTTTAGTTAAAATGTGCTCCGTGATGCGGTGCACTTGATGGGTACATGAGTATTTGGCTCTAAATCCAAACTGCTCTGGGATGGGGAGCCCTTTGGTGTCCATAAGGGATCTTAAGCGGGCTAATATTAGTCTTTCAAAGATCTTCCCAAATGTTTTGAGAAGACTTATTGGACGATATGAGGTTGGGAGAGTGGCGGGTTTAAAGGGTTTGAGGAACCCTATGACATCGGCTTCCTTCCACTCGGATGGGAAGAAGCCTTCGGTTAAGGCCGCGTTGTAAATTAATACTAGTATCTGAAGGATGCTAGTAGGGAGGAGCTTGGTCACCTTATTGGTGATACCATCTGAGCCTGGTGCTTTACGCGGGCGTAGTTTATTAATGGTGTCTATTAGTTCGGAGCACGTGTCTGGGGGAACGGGATCGCGAAGTGGCTCTAAGGCTTTCCTTTCTACCTCTTCGTTCACCTTGCGGAGGTGTTCGGGGTCGATCGGAAGCAAACTGGGGGAGCATTGAGACTAGGCTGTCAGCCAGGCATTCGGCCTTCTCTTCGTCCAGCATTGCTGGCGTACCTATCGGACGGACTAGTGGCGGCATGGTTGTTATGCCGTTACCCTTGAGGGATTTGGGAAGTTTCCAGAAGGCTACGTGGGATGGTTTTACTGAAGTTAGGGTGGAGTCCCATCGTTCGTTTCGTGAGTCTGCTATGCGTGTTTTGACCTCACGCTGTAATTTACGTAGCAGTCTACGATTCGAGTCGGTGGGATATCTATCATAGGCTCGAGTGGCCGCATTCTTGCGTCTCAGCAAGTCTCGCACATCGTCTGGCAGGGCCCAGCGATGGTCTTCCATCACCGGGACCTGTCTCGAGCATTGCTCGACGACGGTGTTAACATGGCTTGTGAGGGCTCGAATTTCGGTTTCCGTGTCCTGTTTGGTATTCAATTCTCTAGGGATTGACTCTAATTGTGGAGGATTAGGTTCGTTAAATTTAGATTTGATTTTATGCCAGTTGATGACAGTTTTGGTTAGGGGAGCGGCTGTTGCTGAAGGCCCTAGCCGGAGGAGAACTGGTCGGTGATCGGAGTGATGGGAGAGAGCAAGATGTATCACATAGGTAATTTAATGAGGTACTTGTATAAGTAGTTGGTATTTTGAGTAGCTATTTATTTTTATAAGTAACATTTATTAGTTTTAATTTATATATTAATTATAAGTAATTTGTTTAATATATTTATGATGTGAGATCACTATGTGTTATTTATATCTATAATATCCAAAGTATCTCCAAAATATTATTTTATGTCATAGTATGACTTAGTAAGTAACAAGTCTTTTTTTTTTTTTTTTTAGGAAAGTTTTATGGTTTTTTTTTCGTCTTTTAATATTTGCGGTAGTTTGTTATATATATTGATGGTCATTACATAGGGACTCGTTGAGTATAATTGTAGTGTAGAAGTGGGTTGCATTAGTCTGTCTTTATGTCGTAAGTTGTATTGTACAGGAATTTCACTGCGCTTTTGATAAAGCCTAGGATTTTTTCGAACAAATTTTTAGAAGAAAATTTTTTTAACCACCGTTAGGTTTGAAACTTGTAACATATGTTTAATACACCGAATGAACCTAGCTGATACATATTGTTAACCTTCAAATGTATTATTATGACTATCATCGCCTTCTCGTAAAAAAAAAACTAATTTTGTATTAACATTTTAGTTTAATTTTCTCTTAAACTTTTTCCGATAGCCAAATAGTAATAATTAGTTGTAGGTCACCAGTGCGAATTTTTCCCCTTT